GGTTGTGAAGGGACCCACAGGGGCGTTCCCATTTGAGCTGTTTTGAGGGAGCCCCTAAACAACAACAACCCAAAGATCTGCAGGCACCACGCAGTCTGAGCAGCATACCCGGGATCGGTGGGTCTGACTGGTTCGCAAGCCTCAGCGTACGTATGGGCTGCTCTCATAATGAGACCCAACAAGAGACACATGGGTTTATGTCCGTTTTTGACGGTACCCTTGGTTTTTGGTTGGGAGGGAAACTGGAGGGAAAGCAACAATTTTGAGGGCTCCCCTGTTTTCACGCATACACACGTGCGCAGGAGCGGCTGTCCAAATCAAGTCCCGCGCTTGGATCTCTCGAGAAGGTGGCACCCAATTCGACAGCCCTATTTTGACATCCCTCGTCCAGCAGGTAAGTCAGGGAAAGCAACACTCACTTACCAGCTCTCAAAACATGATAACACTCTATCTCGCAAATCGTCCTGCACCTTTCTTCCGTTTTGTTGAGTCAATCCAAAAACGGTCCCTCCCCTATCCAACCATCCTAAGATTCTGGGCCGCGTGCCAAGAGCACACTCTCGGGCAGGCCAGGTTTCTCCTGCGAAAGCGGGGCCACTTCAGCTTTTGCCCCCAAAAAACCTCAGTTTGCTTCTGGATCGTATTTGGCGCGCCATGTGAACTTGTTTTTTTGGCTGCCCAAGTGGCGGCCTCGTGTGCTTTAGCCCATGTGGAACCTGTGCCCCTGTGATACCGAAGTGGGCCAACTCAGTGACTACTTTTGCCGCTAAGGAGATTCCCTTGGTACACAAAGTGGCCCTGAAGCACTATTTTACACCTTCATGCCTTGCCCAATTTCAGTCAAATACTGGTACCCCTTCGACTTGATGCCTGGAAGCACAGGGTCAACCCAAAGCCCAGGTCGAATGGCAGCAACGATGTCGCCTTCTTCCTAGCTCCTTTGACAGGTTACAAACATATTCCGCCTTGAAATGCCCACTCGCCCCAGACTAACAAGGAAGGTAGTTACCGTGTTACTTTCCCTCCGGCCATGTTTCGTTTTTGAACCGCGCAACCTTCCAATTCTTCCAGCCCTATCGGCCAAAAATTCGCAGCGTCGGAAGCCTTTGGCTGGAAATGAATGCGGGACAGCTCAGGGATTCCTTCCTCTTGACACAAAACAAAGACCCCTGCGGGATTAAGTCTGCAAGACACCTTTAAGAGGAATTTGTTTTTACCTCTAGGTCTTACATGATATTTTCCTGGTGACAAGCAGGGGTGGGCGGTTCGCTCACATCATCGCCTACCTAGTTTGCTCGAGACCATTGCAGGCCCCAGACTAATGTGTGGCCCACAAACCAAAAGGTAACATGGACGTGAAACAACTGGCTTGCGGTTGGACAAATAACATAGCTTTCCTCAAGCAATGGACCCCGGTCGCCTAAATATAGCCGCCCAAATACACCGTCCTTCTGCACACCATATAGATCTTCTTGGCGGAGTACTCGCAGCAAGTGCGTATCTGGCGCGTCACAACCCCTCGACTGCTCAGATGCCTGGCCAGAAAAGGCCACATCCAAATAATGCAAGACATCTACCCACTGAACCTTTTGAAGCTTGATCCAGGATCATTTTTGTTGGGAGGAACAGGGTATGGTGAAACTTTTCGAGTCGGGGATGGGTTTCACCCATCCCCTTTTGGCTTCTTTTCGGTGCAATTGGGCAGATATATGCACAGTCTCCATTGGGTTCTATCGGACCCCTCCAAGTGAGTCTCCTGGTGCCCTCCATCCAACAAAAGGATGTGCCTTCTTTGGAGGGTTCCATTTTTAGGTTGGCTTTAAATAACCAACGGGAAAACCAACCACTTGTATTGTCCCCTAGTTTGAGACGCACATGTTTGCCCAATTGTTTCGCGGCAGAGCCACGGACTGTGACCCGGTCCCCAGTGGATCCTGAAAAAAGACATGCCCTAGATGTGGGCGTCTTGCTTTGAAGGTACTTCTTGTGGCTACTTCTTATAATGCTGTTCAACAAAGAGTAAGGGAAGCCACAATCTCAAAAGGAAACGCTTTCTGATCAATCCGAGATTGTGCCGTTTGATTCCTTTTGTTGTTGGATTCTGAACAAAGAATAAAGTGCCTTGTTGTTTGTGCGGCTTTCCACTTTGATCCATCTGCCACCTCGTTCTTTGGGGAAGCCCGCGGCTTTGCGCTGGGGTTCTGGCGTTCTCCACGCCAAAGGCCCCGTGACCGGCGATCATCACCACCTTTCCGCGCACCACCTCGCGCGGGTAGCGAAATTCGGGGATTTGCGGGTCTTTGGATCAGAAGCACTTCACCCCAATCATGGGCCCCCAAAGAATATTCACTTCCCCCAGCTCGCCTCTGGTGTATGAAACAAACTATATTCAGCCCCTGTTGAACATGAACAAAGCAACAGCAAACGACAACAACAGCGACACCATGCAAAGACTGCCAAAGTATTGACACCAACTTCGAAGTTATTTTGGATAATGTCAACTTCGGATTCATCTGGAGGATCATGCTACTCAGGAATGATACACTTTCTAAGTGGACTTGTCAAACAAAGTTCACACTTTGCCTTTACTAACCACAATGGTCTTCCCAGAAGATTATGTCTGGAACTCGGAAAGTGAGCTTTACTTCTGGAAGCAAATATATTGTAGAAGGATTGCAAGGATTGATCGAATTCCTTGGGATCAGCTTGCCATTCCGACACGGATACAAAACAGCCTCCCCCCACAACCGTTGAGGCCTTATTTGGCTGCAAGTTCGGCCTGATGTCCCTTCAAAGGAACTGGGTAACCTCTAACCCAAAGATGTTTGCTTCAGGGTCTTTGGTCCGCGGTTGGTAGGATCCTCATTTGCATCCAGGTTGGGAACATGGTGGGACATGCCCGGAAACCTGTGATACTGAAGGTGGATTCCAATTTCCTCATGACCCTCGTCACTCAAGGCCTGTGATTCCCATGCAAATGGAAACCTGACGTCAAAATTGGTCGAGCGTTGTTAACTGCCTGAACTATGCTCCACTTTAGAGCCAGTCAATACTCATCGAGGTTGGGTTTGGGTGCATTCCATTCCAACAACCCGTGACGCTTGGGAGGTCCGCCCTTGTTTCAACTTGGCATGTGTCAACACAGGCGTACCCCAAAAATGGGTGGCTTCCATTTGGCTTCCTTTCAAACCAAATCCAAAAGGGGTGCCCCAAAAAATTCACACACAACAAACAAATCTTAAATGAATTGCCATTGCTTCAAATGGAGAAAAACAAGCAAGCCAGCTGTGAGGGCTCTTAGAGTTGAACCATCCGCACCCAAGGCAGACCTCATCGTAGTTGACGGTGTCAAACATGGCATACCTTAGTTGACTGATTCACCGGCAACACCTAAAGCCTTTTTGTGTTGGGGGGAGAAGGGGGAGGGGACCCATGCGAAAGGGAGAGGGGACATTCAACTGGGTAATGATTTATAAAAAAAAAAGAGCAAGTGCGAGCTTTTGATTTTCACGCCTCTGGCGCTCGAATGTTGACTCGGAGTTCTCCTTCAATGTATCAGAGGGTCTCAGCCCCTCTCTCACTGCCTAAGCCGCTGAACATGGCCGAATTGACAGATGCGAAAGCTTTGGGCGAAAAAATGCCTGTCCTTTTTGGCTCCCCTTCAAGCATACAAGACGTCTCACCTGCGAACAAAAGACTGGAAAGTCACTTTGAAGTTGAGGCTTGAGGCATCACCACAAGTCTTCCATTGCTAAACCTAGCCAAGCCTTCTACGGCGGGGAGTTGCGGGGCCTGTGGGTGGTTGCGGCTTGTGAAACAAAGCCGGAATCCGCAGCCTAAAACTCAGTGGATGGGAAAGGGACTTGTTTCTCCGTTGCTATCGACCCCTCTGCAAAATCGTTCAACTTTTGGTGGGTGCGATGGAAAATCCAGTTGCCCAAAAAACCAAATAGCCACAAAGCTTTAGTCCTTGATTTGGACACCCTCCTCCCAAGAAACAAGGTGCTGGCAAAGCAAACAATGGATCTCAGGCAAGCCATGGAAAGCTACTATAGGTCACAAACAATATTCTTGTTAGTTGTCCTTTTCAGGGAGGTTCACTTAGTCCCTACTATAAATTTGGTGGTGTGCTTGGTGTGGATGTCAGGTACCTTCCCCCATTTGGGACCAAAAGGATCCAAACCGACAAGATGAGTGTAACTTGATACATGGAACTGGAAAAACCAGATGCCAAGCACAGGTCAGGGGTGCCCTTCCAAGCTTTCCACCGCACTCAGTTCCAGGCTCCATGTAGCCGTTGAACAGGTCCTGCCGGAACTTCGGAACTCCCATTCTGCGCCCAAATTGCCATGGTAAAACAGGTGTTTTTTTGTTGCTGATATGAAAGGCAAGTTCATCCCAAAGAGGAGGAGCACACATGCGGCTGTGGGTCACAACCAATGGTACCAATTTGGGGTAGGTGCACCACCCATGTTAGTCTTTTTTGGTGGGGATTGGGATGTTCACTGGGGGAACGATTTAGCTTTTGACCCATGGCCATGTGAGTCCACTGAACATTCAACCGAATCAATTCGGCAGGCATTCATCGTGTGAGTTTGCCTCCTCGTTGGGCCCCAGGCCGGCTATTCATGTTTTTGCTACGGCTTTCCTTTATGACCAGTGAATGAATAGGATCTCAGAGTTATGCTGCGAGGACAGGAGCAAAGGGAATAGACGTTCATCTTTTGTTTACCTTGGACACCTCGACACTGATCCGCTTCTAATAGAATGCATTTCCACGGATAAAAGATGAGCAAAGGAAAGAAAAGATAATCAAAAAGAGACGAGACAGTAAAAAACAATGATGGTAATGGCATACATAAACTCGTTTTGGAGACCCCAAGCTTGTTTGCGTGACGCTTGCCACGCCTCTGAACCGTTTCAGTTTTGGGAATGCACAAAGCGCAGGGTTGCTCCAACTGCCCTTTCGCCCAGACCCACGGTGGCCAGGAGAAAACAACTTCGCTCTTTCTTTGGGGGTTGGTGAGAAGGCCTCCAACGGACCCTTTCCAATGGGGGCTAAAAACAGACACCCAAAAAAACACCTGGCAGACCTCCCAAAACACCCAAACCATCCCGAAAAGCACTCCTGAAACACCTAAACAGGCGCTAAACACACCCTACCACTTTCCAATGTGCTGCCCTTGGTTTGGTCATCTTGCAGCACTGAACCCATGTCCAAAACGAGATGCGAGCTTATGCCCCTATCCACAGTCCTCGCCCTTGTACTCGTACTTGCGAGGAAGAGACAGATTTCCAGGGTACCTAGGTGACCATCCAAACCCAGGACACCAACCGCAATGGGCCTTGCCATTGCCCTTTTCCCAAGCAGTTTTGGCATGGAGCCAGAGGCCTTATTTGGCCTCAACCCTATCCTATGCCGTGGGGGTGGTTTGTAAGGCAACGGCAGTTTTCTTGAGCGCTGAACGACAAATTAGCACAACAGGAGCTAGGATAAAGGCAACGCACAATGCACACCCACCCACACACACACACACACACTCCATGCCCAATTTCCAATAATAACGTCAAGCTTACTATGCCGAAGATGGAAGATTAAAACTTTGACATTGGGATGCGTCAAACATTAGTACTCGAGGGGACTCATTCAGAAGGAACCATGACAGCAACCCTGCGGACGGTCCCTGGCATTGATCGCATAATCTCCAGACAAACATGCAACCCACAAAAAGGTCGCTTTTAGAGCATGTCTCTTTGGCGGCACCCCTTGTTGGGCTCCATGAGAAGTTGCAGGCAAAAATATCAGTTTTAAATAGTTACAACCAGAATTACTTTATGATCATGAGGTGATTTCGCTGAATAGTACCCAACCCATTCTAATTCTTTAAACTTGGCCCATCATGGTATCCAAATGAACAAATGGGCATCCATTTTGAGTGGGCAGCCTGTGGACAGCATTTCTATGCACGCCTTGACCGACCCGCTTTTTGCTCCGAAGTCGTAGAATCGGCCAGTGGTTGGACCCGGTGTTGAAACTGGCCGCGGGTTCAACTCCGGCCGTTCCACATAGTGGTTACAAGCCACGCAGGTGTTCGCATCACTTGTAGTATGACCGTGTTGCTTTGCCGGAATAAACATCTGCTCTCTCACGGATAACGGTTGCATTGGATAGAAAATCGCTCTGCATGGAGCAACAAAGGGTTCAAACATGTTCAACTCATATCGCCGAGACATAACCTCGGTGCATGGTTCATTTCTATTCTAAAGAAGTAGATCTAAGTTCTGAGCATATCTACGCATCAGCAAATTACCTGATTTTCCCGCTCGTTACAACCCATTTCACCATAGTTTGAACATTCAAGTGTCGATCAAACGACGACGAGGCCGTGGCTACTATGGCCGTTGGCCCTGGCTTTGGCCCCAGGCATGAATGCGCAGCTCGCTGGGAAGGTCTTGATCTGCAGATCGAGTGGATTACATTTGGAGGTTGCTCCCAAAACCCTCGCGGCTGTTCAGCCAGAAGAAGCAAATGATTTGGACCTTGACTAAAATGAAGGATCCAAAGTGTGCTAATTCAATTCAAGAGGTTAGCTGAGGGTAGACCATGGATTGGCAAAGGGAGACCAAATCTCCACACTAGCGGGCTGGCAAACTTTTAGCGGGTGCATCTCTCTTGTGTGAAGAGGTGGTATCGTGAACAAATCAGCAAATAAACCTTGAGTACTGTCACCTAGAAGGAGTGTTCGTTCCTCTACACATGAATGCTGTTGGGTTAACTGTTGGTTTGCAGCTGTGTATCTGTATAGTGTTGTGATATTGTTCACATTGAATTAATCCGCAAGACCTCACTAATTAAATATAAAACTGATCGACCTAGTTAAAGAGGGGCTTCTAAATTCCGAGTGACTATTCTTGGGAAATGTTGACCCAGGATGAAATATCCTGGTTCATCAGTAGGGGGTGTCTCAATTTAGAGGAAGACCTGCGCTTTAGGAATTACCCCCTGTCGGCCTCTCGAAATCACTGGTAAATTTGGGTCCCAGGCAGTTACCCAAGTCCAGTTTAGATGTCTCTGGTGCGTCCGCGTTTTTTTTGGGGGTACCATTGACCAATAAACCAGGCATTCATAGATTGAGTCCCTCACAGTACGCAGAACCGCTGGTCCAAACAATTCTGCAGATTCAGCTGGAGCCATTGCCTGACACCACCCAGTTGTTCAGTGTATTCCACCCTGATCGTTTGTTTGCTTGGCGGGTTTCCACAAATGATCAACCACATGAAAGCGAGAGTTCCCTTTGTCTCCGAACGTTTGTAGATACTTTTCAGACAACCTTCACCCGCTAGGTTTCGTAAGCCACTGGCGTTGCCTGTGTGCTCTGTCTGGGGAACATTCAAAAGGCAAGGCGGGGGGTACCTTGGGATCCTTGGATCGTAACTCAACGGGCGCTTCCGACCCCTGGAAAAAAGATATATCATTTGTTGCTAGATTGCTGTGGGCGAACCACTGACTTTCACATGTCGAGAGGTTCGAACTGGAGGCTGGATGTATGAAACCACGCATGAACATCTGGCATGAATGCATAGTTGACTGGCAAACGACTGACTAACTACCAGGTACACCGCCCATAGTAGCCCGTGTAATATCGTGTTTTTTTGGCTTCGGAGCAACCTGTCGAAGCTGCGATTACAGGGGGACAAGGAGAGCCCCGTCTGTCCCTCATGTAAAATGCGAATCTCACTGGCACGCTGCTTTCAGAAGCTCATTTTTCCAGCCCCCAACTATCGTGTGTCAAGGATTTTGTCCCTCATGTAAAATGGCCGAGACAGTGGGGAATTTATTGCATTCCCAAATCCCACTGGCACGCTCATTTTTCCAGCCCCGAACTATCGTGTGTCAAGGATTTTGCCATGTTCAAGACTGCATGTTGCCTGGGAACCGCATGATGAACTCTCTTTTCAATTGCCGGCGGGGGGGAGGGGTCCTTAGTCTGTTCTTCACCAAACAATCCCCAAAAATATTTGTTGGTTTTTCGGTTGCAGGCAACACACTGGCAGGTTCAAGACGGCATGTTGCCTGTGAGCCGCATGATGAACTCCCTTTACAAAAACCGACGGGGGGAAGGGGTCCTTAGTCTGCTCTTCACCCAGAGCGACGAGGCGTAAGCCAGACAAGCGACGAGACAAGACCCAACAAGCAGAAGCCACGCCGATGGAAGCAGAGCAAGGGCGCAGCAGATGACGACTCCAGGATGCACACCAGGTGGACCACAAGAAAGGAACGTAGGCGCCTAAAGCCGAAAAGTCAAGCGGAAACCTATGTAGGCATACCGTGACAGCAGACACAAAGGCCGAGATGGGGTCCAAGCAAGGCAGCCAAACAGTGAAGAAAGGACCCAGCGCCGAGTGTGTGGAGAAGCAATGCGAGACGCCAGCCAAACGCAGCAAGACGATGAACGCTAGACGAATGTCTTCTGACACCAAGCTACAGCAAAACAAGACAGCTCAGCACACTAACAGAGAACATCACACAACCCACAGAAACAGGAAATAAAGAAGTTCTTGTCAAGCAAACTCAAAGAAGTGCCCCACCCCCCCACCCTACCACACCAAAAAATCAAGAAAGCACAAAAAACACGGAAAAAAAACGGAGTTCAAACACAAAAAACAACAAAAAATGGAGTTCGTCCCACGGGCGGCTGTGGGCGGTGGTCCAACTACCATAATGTATCAGAAACCAGCCTCAAGCTGGGCCCAACAGGCGGCCGCCAGCAATCCTTATCATGATTGTCAAACTGGCCTATGAAGCTATCCGCGACCACTACCCTCCTCAAGTAAACGGGTGTCAAAGGACCAGGGACAAATGGGGACCATACAATCTGCCTGCAAGAAAGATGCAAACAAACATATCTTTTTGGTGAGGCCTTTACACAGACCGGTAACCCTGGTAGAAAAGGGGAACCCTTTTCGGGTTGACGAGATAGTGCTCCCCGCCAATCATCAGGGCCCGAAAACAAAAGTGCGCCGGCGACTAAGATGTACATGGGCACGACATGTCAAGCTGTCAATAGATGGCCATGGGTCAAAACCCCGCACCCCCAGTGAACATCCCAATCCCCACTAAATAGAGTAAAATGGGTGGTGCACCTACCCCAAAATGGGATCCTCTTGGTGTTGACCCACAGCCAGATGGGTTCGCTTGCAACGGAATAGATCTGCCCGCTATTTGGTTTAGGTGAGAGCTGTTGTGGCGGGCACCCTTCCTGCGGGCATGTCTGCCGCATGGGCAGTGCACTCTGTGCCCATGGAGAGCTCCCCCTTCTTGAATCTGACCATGTCACAGCCATGCCAGAGCTCCCTTGGTGGCACAAACAACGAAGGATATGTTGCGTTGCCCGGCAGGGCAATAGTCGAAGGAAACTGGCTATGCACTTCACCGAACATTCCCTTGCACTGTCTACTTGAAGCCGTCATTGCACTGCGAAACCCACTAAACAAAAAGGACTCAGAGGCTGAAACAACCGAGCAAGTTGACATTCCCCTTCGCTCCGAAAAAATGCCTGCCTCCCGGCCAGTAGGCAGCGGGGTATCTACCCCAGAGTAGTTCCTGGCTGTCTCAACATCCAGCAGAACTGGCCGCTTTGGGCTCCCTCGGAAACGAGGCACTCCCAACACAGCAACGTAGACCAACCAGGGTGGACTTTGGCCGCTGGTAAGACCATAGAACTGATTCCCCGCAGGCTCTTTCAGTCTGTGAAGTCGGGTTGTCTCCAAACTTGGTGGACCCAGTGTTTCCGCTCAAAAGGCAAGCCCAGAAAGGGTACCCCGAAAACCCCACACCTCACCAGGCATCAATTGCCTTCTCCGCGGTCAAGTTCCGCCCAAGAGGCGCCGAGGAACATATCTTATCCAACAAGCAATGCACGGGTGGTTTCCGTCTGGCATTTCAAGAACACTATGACGTAGTGCTCTTAAACGAAGACACGCCCAAACATAATGGGCCAAGACCCCCCACAAAAAAAAGAAGGAACAAACACCCAACAAAACAAACCCAAGAACAGGACCACAACCCACCCCCTCCTGGCCAAGACTTGGAGGTAACCCACCCCCGAGTGTCAGATATCTGCGAAACTTGCCGGGCACGCTCGTCCACGGCTTCGGTGTGAACATCACCCAGGGGCCCATCCACAGATGTCTTCCCCACCACGTCCACACGCTTCACCTCGCTCAGACGGATCAAGTTTGCTCTTGTTGGATGTGTTTCTTTGGATGAAGAACCCTTTGGCAGACTTCTGAGTCGTATAGTTGGATTGATGTCCATCAACCGTTATTGTAGCTGAATTGGTCCCCTATATGTTTGAGCTCCCGACGCCACAAGGGAATAGTGTTTATTGCATGTACCCTTTTCAGGGTTGTGCTGAAAGGAAACCAAAGGGCAACCGCCCATTTCGAGCTTGGCCGTTTAATGTTGGAGACACGATCTTTAGCAGCAACTGGAACATACCTTCCCGCCCGCTGGGTTCAGGCTTTGGGTTAGGACCAGAGTGGATGACGAGGTTCATGTCCAAATGGTTTGTTTCCCAAACACATTCCCCGATAGACTCAGTCTTCAGAAGCTCTTGCCTGCAAGTCCGCTGTGCCTTTCCACCGCCCGTCCACTTGTTTCATCCATAGAGTCACCCTTCAAGCATAGGGTTCTACATGAGAGGAAGGGGCAACGGTTCATGCTTGACCAATAACGGGGTCACAACGTGCCCACCTTCCAACCATCATGGAGGCTCACACACAACAACAAAAAAAGGGAGGACCCGCCACATATTGAAAGGCGACCCCTGCTTACTTGTATTGGTGGAAAGAAGGCAAATGCAGCTTGAACCGCCTCAGAACATCATTGATTCTTCTACATATGTCATATTTTGTGAACCTTAAACTGCAAAAAGAAAGGAACTACAAAGATCCAAGTACAGGATCAACAAGCAAGCCAGAAAAACCTACAGGGACATCGCTTCAAACACGATCTTGTCTGAGGGAACCCTTTCAATTTGGGGGGAACCACCCCACCGCCCCTTTGGGCGGGGAAGGATTCCATATTTAATTATGGGTATGTGTCAAACAGGGAGCTTTCCTCAAATGGCCGCTTTCCCTTTGATTTCCCTCGATTTGAAAGGGAACCCTCAAAAAAACACGCAGCTATTTGAGCAGCGCCAGAAACCCATTGAGGTTTCGTTCTACCAACACGGCTATAAAGACGTAGATAGGGATCCCGGTAGGTAGGAACCAATTTTGCCGGGGTTTTAGGCGCTGCTCAGTTGGCGATTGGTCGAGAGGTGAGTCGTCAGTGCCCGGCATTGGTTTGAAGGCGGATGTAGGGAGTGAGGCCGTACTCATCAGACACCTGCGACCAAAAACTTGAAGCAACCGAAAAGGTTGCTCTCGCGACCCAACTAGGCAAACTCTCACTTTCAGTGACCTGTTTGGTAAGGGGCCAGGTCTTTCTTTTTGGGCTGATTCCATGAAACAGGCGCAAATGGAACAGCGGCAAATTCTGCCAATGGGTGTGGAATGGAGACATATTAACCTGGCTACGAGTTGAATGGGGGACCTGTGACCTGAAATGGTGACCATCATTTAGCCACAAACTTTAAGAGTGATCCAACTCCTACAATTCATAACTTCAATGGGTCAGTGTTTTGAAGGGTACACTTTCCAGGTTCTACAGAAAACCCCAAGGGAACACCGAACGCCATGCTTGGGTGCCCGTACTTGACACCTACCCAAATGATCATCCACACACTGGAACATTTGACATCCCAAAACCTCGGTCCACGTTCAACTGTACACCTGGGATTGATGGGCTTCTTTCGAAGTAGAACCCGTCCTTTAGGGGGTGTTCCCTAAAGTGAGGGGATACCCCGAACAGGGGGGACACTTCCTCTGAAAATCAACCATCAATTATTGAGTAAGCTTCGTTCGCATTAAGGGCAACTAACACCTATGTCAAATCCGCTAAAACCTATGTCAAACCCATAAAACACTATGTCAAACCCACCAAACCCTAAGTATGTCAAACCCGTTCAAACCCCTGCCAAACCCGCCAAAACCGCCGTCAAAGCCACCAAGACCAGTTTTGGGCCATCTAAAATCACTGGCTTCTCACTGCCTCGCCAACAAAAAAAAACGAAAACTTTCCTCCGCCTTGGCAAAGTGCTCCAGCAACTCATCGCGGGAGGGCCAGGTGCTCATGCCCACGGGCACCTGATGACTCAAGTCTGGTGGCCCCCGGTTGTGCCGCAACGTCCATTTGGTTGTTCGACGCCGGGAAAAATGATTTGGTTAAGACCCCTGGACAAAAAGTAAGAAATTTCCAGTAGCGATAGATTCCCCTTAAAACCAACAGGGGGAAGTAAACCATATTCTTAAGCAAATGGAAGGCAAGAGGGCATGGGAAATCTGCGAAGTAGTCACTAAACACCCTCTGAGAGGACAAGGGACAAAGGGGCGGCCCTCTGAAACAGCTTTTGTTCCTTTTATTTCTCGCTTTGAACTGGGGGCACTCCGAAGAAGAAGATGGTCAGACGCTGGTTCATATCAAGTCTGCCCTTAAAAGATGGCCCTGGAGGAGACCCCAGTTTAAACCACGGGGATGCGCCATCCCCAACAGCCCCAGAACCCTTCCGGCACCCTCCCTCAAGGCTCCAGCTGTGGAGAGGGCAAATGGCTCCCCGCTTCCCTCTAGTTGGTGGCTTGGTGGTTTGGTGGTTGAGGCTAGCTTCCCTTTTGCTTGTCCAGCGGTTCAAATCCCCCAACCACCAATCCAAACCAACAAACCCGTTACCTGATACCCTCGCAAAAAGAAACTAACTTAGGGGCCCCTGGCGGTTGATGTCCTTGTGGCTTCCCCTTACCAATCAAAAGGGGTGTCCAAAAAAACAAAACAAAAAAGCTGAGATCCCCAGCCGGATTATTCTCATCGAACTGGAGATGGTAGGTCCCAAGCTCCGTCTGCAGCTTCGATGTCTTGTTGGCCTGCCGTCCAACAGCCAGGAAATGCAGAGTGACAGGTGGATATCTGCTGTGTTTGTTGGAACCCTTTTGTTTAGAAACCCTTCACGGAAACCGACTTCAAGTGCGCTGATCGCTGTGTTTGGACGTAAAATTATCCAACAAGTCAACAAGTCTCAGGCTTGACCTATATACGTGTGTGTGTGTGTGTCGTTTAGGTTGCTAGCTCGATGAGTTGGAATGAACCCGACAAAACCATACTGGTGGTTTCCTGCTATATCCAGAACCATCCGGTTCATCCCCAAAAAGCCCGGTTGATTCTGAGCACTCAAAGGCTTACGTGGCTGATCTTCCGAAATATGTTCCGGTGGGGTTGACCCCGTGGGTCTGCGCTTGGAGATTACCCTTTGCACCTTGGGTTTCCAGTGCAAAAGGACAATCGCATTTGCTGGAGGGAAGTCTCCAGTTGTCATACCCATCTCATCCCCCCACCCTCTTAGACATTCGAAAACTGCAACCCTCTCTATCAATTGCTTTGAAAGATGGTTGTGGCTTATGCCCTTGATTGCAGCGACCAGGGGGGAATCAACCAAAGAGCAGCTCTGGGAAAGTCGCCTTTGATCGCCCAAAAGTGGCGCTTGGATCGCAGGCGGTCGGCTTCCAGGTTTGGGTTCTGCTTCCGCCCAGGCAACGTTTGCTTGCACTCTGGTGTCCGGCTAGGTCCCCCAGTAGTGCCCTTTTACCAACTTTTGTGTGGGAGGGTTCCCCCAAAATAGAGTACAGAAAAAGGGTACCCTTGTTCTAACCTCTCTACTGGAGGACCTAGCCGGGTTAGCACAGAACTGGGAGATATCCAAGCTGCTTAGAACCCCCCCCCCTTGGCATCAACGGAAACACACACAACAAAAACCAACTAGCTGCGCATTCCACCTGATTCTAAACATAAAGCCATAAAGCACATATTGTTTGGCACCGACCTCGCCTGCAAAGAGACAGGCAAAGGATTTGTTTGGATTTTTTACATTGTTTCTCATTGATGAGAGAAATGCCAGAAATGGGTTCTGTATGAAAGGGATCTCCGCTGGTCGCCGTTTTGGCCACTCAATTTGCATTCAACTGAATTGAATCGCTGCTGTTCAGCTGGATCGTTTGTTGAAACACAGGCACTGGGGTTCGACTCCAGGAAACCCAAGAGCATGTACCCTCCCAATTATGAAACTTTACAGGACAGGCCTTGGGGCGACCATGAGTCAGTCATCTTGGGTTGCTCCCGTCCGGCCGTCGAAACTTGACATCCTGTTCTTTGTTTGGGGGTGGGGGGGGACTCTCGAGCCTCGGGAGAAGTGTCATGGACGAAAGGGGCAACCCTGATCATAACCCAACCCACCGACTCGCTAGGAACCGCAAAGTGTTGGACCTCAGGGAACCCCTCCCCAGGCCAACTTGAAGCTTCGCAAGAAACCCTGCAGAAAAAAATCTGAGAACTTCTCTTGGAGGCAGGGGAGTTTTACTGGTTCACCCCGCTTAGCAAGGGAACAGTCATGTTGCTGCTTCCTCACTTATCATTCACTTACAAGCTACCTGGCAACTTTTGGACATCCATGTCATTGAACCGCCCATTTACTTTTCTGATTGACATGGAATCCCTTGGAACCACTTTCTGGGGGCCGAACCCTTGTAAGAAGCTTCCGTCCAAACCTGTTGCAGGGGCGCGAGTCTCAGTTGCCATCATAGATCAGCATCATTTTTGGTTGGTGAGTTTAAAGCGGAACTCTTCCCAAAAAAACGCAGTCGAGGAAAAACAAAAAAAAAACCTGCGCCACCAACTGGGTCTTGCATCGCTCACCCTCAGACGCCTGGGAGATCCAGGAGGTTCCGCCCACCTAGCGCCGAACCACCAGCCAAGGGGGGGCGGGATGGTGGTCACTGACTGGGGGGGGGGGGGGTGATTTGGGTATGATTTCTTTAACTACCGTGGACATCAGAATTTGGTGAAGATACAAAGGTCCAAGTAGTTGTGACGTTGGCTACGGGCGCAGACGGGCAGACCCACTCAGGCTTCAAGTGAAGCACGCAATAGAACATATTGATACATATTGTGAGAAGACAACTATTGTCGATGGACCTTATTCTGCAGTGGGGATAGATGAAGACCCTACCAACTGTTGGATCCTGTCCATCCAGGGTCGAGTTTGCAACCTGGGGACCTCTCTCTTTAGTCTGTTTGAGTAAGGATTTGGGCCTGCAAACTAGTCTTGGACAGTCCATAGCGCGAACACCCATGGTGCAAGGGTTTTATACTTGTTTTGTTTAAAGGTTGTCCAAACGATGCATCTAAACACCTGATTTGCAAGGGGATCCTCCAAATCAGATAATCAGCCCAATATGCGTGCTAGAACACCCTGTTCAAGGGGAAACCAAGAGGCCGAAAAGCTAGAGAAGACGTCCAACTCATCTTTCAATCAGTTGCAGGCATGGTGTTGTAAAATGAATGTTACTTTCTGTCAAACCGACATGGTGTTCCCATCCGAACCACTGCGATTCCCCTCAAGAAGCTTTTCTTTGAGCCTGGAGGCGCAACTCGGTGTGTTGGTCGAAACCAAACGAGGCGTCGTACACCAATTTGGAGTCCAAATGTTTGGGCCCTGATCACAACTCATGTAGACCATGCTCCAATCGGTTCTTTTTGGTCACGAGACATTTCCAATATGTTCCAATGGTGCAACCCAAGTAAGCAGGTCCGTTGACGGATGTACTCATTGATGGGAGATCAGGCCATGCCAATCGCGCAATCCTTTGCAACCTTTGGATGGTCTCTGAGATATCTGTTGTGAGACTGTTTCACGCACCCAAGGTTGGCCCAGGAACGGATACCCTGAGGCCCCTTAATTAATGGAAACCATGGGCCAAACAACTTTGTTTCTGGTTTGAAGCAACTTGCTCATCAATCCTGCCTAATCATTCGTCCAACTCTGATCACCAGTAGTGCCCTGAAAAGCACCTTTGAAGTTACCTCAAAAGGGGCAAGCGCCCAGAAACAAGTTGGACACCCTCATATCTGACAATCTCCCTAGAAGCCCAGTCCTCTTGCAATCGTTGCTCGCTCCCTGACTTTGCCGACGGTATTGCCACTTTTCATGAAAAAGCTCCTTGAGGGATGGGCACAACAAATGTTCAGCTCCCCCAGATTTGGGGCTCCATGCTTTTGGACATCTTCAGTGGGCCCCCAGCAGGCAGAAGGCTGGGTGAAGAATCATCATTGGCTACTCTCTCAACCAACAGCACACATCCGCAGGAAGGTCGCAGATGTTTTCCAGACACCTTCACAGGCTTGAGGTCGCACAACACCCATCAGCCCTGAAAAGTGTAGGAAGCCTTCTTGAGGGTGTTCCCTCTACAGAAAGCTTAACAGACAGAAGGAAATTCCCCGCTCCCTCGCCTTGTTCCTGCGATCCACGATCACAAAGTTCGTGAAGCCGCGCTGGAGCAAGTAAATTCCCTGGCCGATTGAGGCCCTACCTCTCGGACCCCAAAACACCTGAGTGGTACACAACTTCTAGGCTGTTTTGGGGACACCATGCTGGTGCTTTTGGGGGACACCTCTTGAAGCAGCATGTTTGTTTCTTGGTAGGTGTTGCTTCTTTGCTTTGGGGGACACTTCCTTTTGCCGAGTTCCTGCCTCGGAAGAGAACCTTGACAGCTTGCCAGATTTCCGAAAACACCTACCTTGGGGCTTGGGAGACATTTGTTTGGGGGTGCGGGCACCTTGTTGCTTGTGGGCGGCCTTTTTGGGGCGAACCCCTTTTTGGGCTGGGAGGAACATCAACTTTGAACAAGTGGAAGCAGATTGTATGTACAGTATCTCAATTCAAGCAGTTCACATAAAATTGATGACTAAAAGTGATACACTCAAAGCGGAACCAACATTCCAGGGGCCTGATTGATCTGAAGCAAGCACTACAAGCATCAACATCCCGGACTTGCTTCATGTTAGAAGTTCAGCCAATTGTTTGCCTACAACATCCTACAACATCCACTGAGTAGCTTTGTTTGCAAATGCCTGCCCCCCCCCCAAAAAAAAAACAAACAAACAAGCAAACAAAAAACAAGCATTCCTGAAATATTCCTTTAAACTTTACGCAAAGTGGGACGCCGAAAACGGAGACCCATGTGGCTTTGCCCCGGCATATGTACTTCAGCCATGTTTTCAGTGCCGTGCTTGAAGCACTGAGTTTTCTTGACCTGTGAAAAAGACAAATAAGGAGAACACAAATCATCCCCTAGAGCTACTTTTCCGGAACCTTTCCGCACACCCCCCTTCAACAAAAAAAGAAAGAAATAAAGAAGGACCCAAACCACCCCAACCCTTTGGCACATAGACCAAAAACCGAAAACCGAGAAACAAACAAATGCCAGAAATCCAAGACATCACCCTGCCTCTCACCTCGCTAAGGTGCAGATCTATCCTCTCGACCATGAACATGACTACTTGATCACTTTCAAGGGGGTTTTCCAAGAATATCAAAGAAATGAAACCAGGAAATTGAGCAGGCCTTAGCCACTTGGCGGTGGCTCAACAAGCTGTACTAAAATGGCACCTCAGCAAGTGGACAACGGGAATATTCAGAGCAGCCATCAACTGACATTGGTCCCCGAACACCCTTTTCCTCAGGTACGGGAGCCCCCCCTGAGTTCCCGGCGTGCCGGAGCCCAATGTGCCCCGCGCCGATGATCAGGAAGGGCGCCTGGTACCTGGAGAAGTTCCTGTTGGCTTCCCTTTAAAATGGTTGAGACCCCTGGAAAGAATGAGCAATTATTTTCAGAAGTGATAGATTCCCTTTGAAACCAACATGGGAAAAGAACAAATATTCTTAAGCAAATGGAAGTTTAACATCGTGAATCGGGGCGGGGTCCTCAATTTTGAGAACCCCCAGACACGAACTGGATCTTCTCCAGCATTCGAGTGCGAATGTTGATTGGGGACTTTGGTGGGGCTCGGGATTGTCCACCAACCACTTTTGAGGGTGGCCGCATTAAAATTCGTAGCCAGGCGCCCCTGTTAGATACACCAAAAGGAAACTAATTCAGCCTAAAATGGCCAAGCGATGACTTCCGGGGGGGTGGATCTTCTTTTGATTCTGTTCACCCATTCTTCTTTATCAAACACAAACCGTTTCCCCCCCCCCAAAACAAGAATAAATGAATATCACATAGTACATGTCGAAACTAATTGAAACAGAAGGTAAAGGTGGTGGTTAATTTGGCCAAACTATTTTGCCTTCGAGGAAACCTGGCAAGAGGACCACGGTGTCCGAATCCGAAACAGGACGGGCTTGGACATCGGAACCAACCCGGAACGATTTTTGGGAAGTGTAAGTGTGGCCTGAAGATCCTGAAGCGGGCACACGTCTGCACACACTTAGGGCGGAACCCGGACAGGATGCGCAAGGCGCTTTCTGAATCAGGCTGGGAAGGCTCGGGTGTTCAATCAATCATTTCTGGCAGTGCCAACCATACAAATCCTTGTCGCAGTGTATTGTGTCAAACTGGGGCTGTCGAGGGGCACTTGCAAAGGGCGGTTTCCCCTGCTTCCCCAACGGGAAGCACACCCAAGGGGAGGGTGAGTCGATAAATAAACCCATCCGGTAGATGTGGGCAAAGGGCATGGCTCATCAAACCGTACGGAAACTATAAACCCCCTTTTAGTTATGAACTCCGTTTTGTTGTGCCCGTTTTCATGAGCCATGCGACGGAGCCGGAGGGGCGCACTGTGCCTTCTGGGGCTTGAAACTTCGAATACCGGAGACCAACACCTTCCGGCGCACCTGCCGTGAGAGGATGGCGCTTTCCATGTCACATTCCAATTCACTAGAGAACCGGGGTTCACACCGTAACCAAATCGGAAAATGGTACCTACAGTGCCACAAGCTGTTTTTGGTTTTTAAAGGGTATTTCAAGTTTTTCAAGCAACTAGAACCACTGGGACACTTGATTGTCACCCCCCGCCCTCCAGTGATGCCTTGCGTTGTATTTGAAGGCGTCTCGTCAGCTTTGCGAACTCTTGCAATCCAGGTCTGCGGCGAAGTCTCGAATGGCAGGATCGGCGGTCATCAGAACCTTTGGAATTCCTCTCAACGCCAAATGCACGCCGGTCATGTCTTGCCCGGGCGGTGCGCTTCGTCAATCATAGCAACCGGACGGAGCTGTGCCTGGCCAACGTCTGTGCCAGTGCCAAACAAATGGTCGCATTCCTTGAACTCGCCCGGACGAGGTAGGGTTTATAGCCTGAGGACCATTCCCCAGGTAGCCAGGAATAGCTTTTCAAACTGACCAATCTTAGCGAGTTCGGAACCCACCAAACAACAAGGATTTGAGGGTGCCGGGTGCCCGCTGGATTTGTTTGGGCCAAAACCCCCAGGTCTTGTTATGGGGGCTTCGGATCGAGGGCTCGCATCGCTGGGGGGGGATATTGTCTGCATCTGACATGCCACAAGCCGCTACTAGAGTTGCTTGCAGTTCTTTGGCAAAGAAGCTCGTTTGGACCAATGTGGCGTATATAGAGATCTGAGGAATCAAACTACCAGTTTAAGGGGCCGTGTAACTTTGCTTGGCGGAGCTGCTACATTCTCGATCCCCCCTTTCCAAAACATCCAGGGGAAGCGGTTGGCTTTTGGAAAGAGTCATCGTTAGAAAGAACCACACAGACAAAATACGCCATGAGCCAAGCATTGGGTTTTTCCAAAACTGGGGAGTTCGACCTAGCAACTGTGAACACCATGCGTAGAAAGAAAGGGGAATTGACCCCTGTCGTTGCCCAACGTATAGCCCAAACGGGCACCCTGCGGCGATAGCAAAATGCCCGAGGCCCGAGGTTTCAACTTGGCATGATGGGAACCGATGCAAATCCCCTGAACGGAACCGGTCCTAGGAACTAGGAGGCTGCAACCTACCAAACATTTCGTGAATGGGGACCTCTTGGTTTACCTTCAACCCTAACCTCGTGGAAATTGCGTCTGTTTCTTGACACAGGCTTCTACCAGCATATAAATCCGGAGTTTTCCACGGATGCGCTGCGTGACGCAACTTGGCGCAGCGCTGAAACCTTCCTTGCGGTTGAACGCTGCGGAGTCCAAATTTGTCCCCTGGAAACATTTCAACTCTCTCGCAGGAGCCCTGCAGACCTAAACGCCCATTGAAAGCGGCATTGAAAAACATCTCGCAAGCCACGGCAACGACTTGGTTTGATTTTGGGGGCGTCTTTGTCAGAAACACCAACCTGTAGGTATTTTGGGTGGTTCCCCCATGCCAAGCAACGTAATATTGTCGGTGACTCAGGTGGTTCCCTGCCAAAACCAAAGGCCTCCATTATTTCGGGATACTAACACAGCCCACAAAAGCTTTGGCCTGCTTTGGCATATTGCGGGCCGTATTTGGCCTTGTGGCCTTGTTTGGTCTAAGGCATTTGGGTTATTTGGGTATGTGTCAAAAGAGGGGGACGCACCCGCGCAAGCACGCACGCACACACTTCAAGCGGGGGGTGGGGGAAAAGGGGGGTACCGTTCGACGGCCTCCTCATGGTCCAGCTGCTTCCTACGCGACACGGGGAGCCCCAGGTCAACCAAAGGAGAAACGCGTTAAGGTGCCAAGCCTCTTTCGGAGGGCACCCCGTTTGGGATTGGGCTACAGGAAAACCAACAGGAAACCTACCAAGGCTTTTGTGGGAGGGGTGCCATCTTTTGAAACACCCAAAGAAAAACCAGCCTCACATGGAGGGTCCATTAAACCACACAAACATGTGTGAAATAATTGAATTCCGGGGGTGAATTATTCACTTGTTGTGTGGATTTAACGGCATCCAAATATGCGCAGGCAACAGGAAATGGCAAAGTTGCAAACACAAACCCTCATGAAAACCCACAAAGAACCAACGACCCAACCCTCCCACACCGCTTTTCCGGCCCAAGTACCCCAGACCGGACCCGTCGGTTCGGGGAGCGAATCAAAGGCAGCAGGCGCGCTCCTCCAAGAGCAGCCCGCGCGGGTGATGAACTGGAGGTCACTGGGCTCAATCCCAAGCCTCAAGACGAAAAGGGGGGACACTCCCAGTGAGTCCATGTGGGTGGGACAGCCCCCCCGCCCAAAAGAAATCAGGTGGTGTGCCTGTTCGTTACTTCAATACGCTACGGTACCCCATGAGAATTGTCCCTATATAAGGAGGGTTCTCAACATGGTTCCCGACAATAGTTGGCTCCCTTTGTTTCCCTTCAAAACCAACCCAACATGGCCCTACCAGTGTGTCCATTTAGGTGGCTTAAAGGGAAGTCAAAGGAAACCAGCTGAGTGGATTTCCAAGCCTTCTTTGTTGGTTGATTTCAAAGGAAAACTCTTCCACAAAAAAGAAAAACAGGGAAAGGGGCACCACTTGCCTTGGATATAGCAGGCAAAGGGAGCCGGTCTTTAAAAGCTTAAGCTTTAAATGGCTGGTTACCTATGGTGGTAATCCTGGTAGCTGGATCTGCGATGCTTGTTCCAGTGCTTCCAGGCAAGCCTTTTGGGCTATCTGGAAGCACATATCCGGTGACCAGTTCAAGGGCTTTCAGTAAATGGTTTCCTTGCGGAACCGAAAAAAACACATGCTTGTCCTTTCGTGCAAGCGATCGGAAACCCGTTTGGTAGAACCCGTTAGACGAGTCCCTCAGTGGGGAGGTTGTCTGAATCAAGGCTCCCTCGCTGCGGGTCAAAAGATATGGAAAACCACGCCAAACAAGGCGCCGACTCAAAAAAACAAGAGGTTCAGTCTTTGAAGCCACAAACTAAGGATTCATACCAGGGCTATGTATATAGGTAGCCAGGAAAAAGCATCAGTTAAAACCTAGAGGCGAAAATACCGCTCCGGGTTCCCAATAGTGGCGAAAGACCTGGAGGTGGGTACATGGGTGTGTCTTAACATAGATGAGCCCCCAAAATGGCTTCGGTTGTCATGTTGGTTTTCCTTGCAAATGAGCCGAAAAGGGGTGCCCTCAAAAGAAGACGAGCCAGCCATACGGATTCATGCCACTCCTTGACGGTTTTTTTTTCCCAATCGAGGTGCTTGGCCGACAGGAACTCCTTGAGCTCCAGGACTTTGGTGCTGGTCACCACCGGCAACGTCATCACCTGAAGCTCGCAAGGACCCAGTAGCCCAGATGCCCAGTGGATTTCCATGGGGAAAAAGCGTCGAATCCTTTGTTGGTTGGTCAATGTCCTTCCGGTCAGTGCCATGCTTGTGAGCGGGCGGCTACATGCCCTTGTGCTGTGCCTCCAGTCGCGAAACCCCAAATTGTCAATGGCAATGTGTGCCTGTGTCTACCAAAGCGAGCTGAAAGCAGCGCTCCAACTTCGCCAAAACGGCAAAATAGCCAGACACTCCTTTAGGGGCAAAGACGATGTCTCAAAAATGTGATTTCTTCAAAAGGGACGACCTTTTCTCATGCAAAATTTGTCCAAGGGCCCGAGTTTCTTCTGACAGACCTGTACTAGAGGTCTATGAGCAATTCGCGAGTCCTGTCTGCTTGAGACAGAGAAACTCCAAGCATCTGAGTCATGCATTTGCCTGACAGAGGCCAGTGACACATTTGTCCTCACTCAAGAAGGGGAACAAAACGACATGTAGTTGGACCCTCACTCGCCTTAAACATGGGATCTTGCCGCAACAAAATGCGATATCCCATTTTTGGGGGTACCCGCCTACCAATTGACGTGGAACCTGCCAGGGACCCAGTCCCTTTAAAAGGAAAATGGCCCCAACCAGGACCCCGGAAAGTCAGCTTCCGTGTTAGTTGGTGGGAGGGTAGTTTGAGGTCCCCCCGTCGTTGGACTCTTCGTGCGATTCGCCCAACCTGCCTCATCCGTGCCATGGACCCGCAGCTCGGTTTGGGCCTGACTCGCCACGCTCCAACTCAAAAAACAACATAAGCGCTTGAACCATCCCAAACCATGGCTATGTGAGCCACACTCAAACTTGAACTTCCTATACATTAGAGGGACTAGGCTTTCTTGGCTAGGTCCTCCAGTAGAGAGGTTAGAATAAGGGTACCCTTTTTTCTGAACCCTCCCCCAAGAAAAGGGCAAAAGGGCACATACTGTGGGACCTAGTTGGTGTTCGATCTTGTCAGGAAGCCCTTCCCACGTCTTGGATTTTTGAGACCAGCCGCATCGCGTAAGGGCCCGCGCTGGGGTCTGGCTGGCCGGCTGAATGCCGGGGCCCAGGATCTTATATTGGACCTCAGACACAAGCGGATGCGACGGGTTTTTGACGATTGGCCCAAAGGACCTGGGAAAAATATGGATCAGGGAAATCAAAAACATGTCAAAAGGCCGGCTAAGGTTTTGCTGGTCAAGCGAAGCTTTGAAAAAGTCGGGAATCACAGTTATTCATCTTTTTGAAGAGTGCCCGCTGGAAGTCCAGCATCTCAGAAGCCCAGGAGCCCATGAACATGTTTTGGTTGATAGAGGGAACCCTTCCGAGGATTTGCCGAGCCGCTGCGAATTGGGGTGTCACCTTAGATTCCTCGAAAATCGAGGGGTTGGTGTATCTCAAAAAGCAGAACAAAAGGACGGACATTCGCGAGAGAAACACTTGGACAGCCGTCATCGATGCAATCCCCATCAAACCACGGGGTGAAAACGAACGGCCAACGCCCCCCTTCCATAGATTTCTTAGTTGTGTGTTCAACACAGAAAGGACAAAACACGGCTGTCCGGTGTCCTTTTGGGTTCCCTTTACCACCAACACTTAGAGGGTAGCCTCACAAAACCACCCGCCCGCTGGTGGGTATGCACATCAGGATTTAGGCAGCCCCCATGTTGCTCGCGCCAAGATGCTCTCGCGTGCTTCAGGCCAAGCCAGCACTTGATTTCTGGGGAGGAAACAACAGGCGCCCACACCCGAGACACTCTGTTTGTTTTTTTCCTCCTAGAAACTTGGTCAACGTTCAACCCCCAAACCTTAGAATTGGAAGAAGTGAAAAGACATGACTATCACTTCCAGGAGTCTTGATGTCTCTGATTGGCCCGTGGTTGCCTTAAGCTATGTCATGCTGTATCATGCTGTCCTGCAACTTGATTTGTTTGGACTTGTGGGTCTTTCCTTTGAGGGCACCATTTGTTGGAGATTTTGCAAGGGAAATCAACCGTACACCACCCATTTTGGCGGTCCACCATTTTGAGATTTGGCTCAGGTCGCATAAGTATTGAGAAACTGCCTGCAGGGAGTCTCTGGAAAAATCGCTTTGATAATTCGGTGTGTTTATGCACAGCGGGGAACGAGATTGTGTAGCCTGATTAAAAAGAAAGTACCAGCTGCAAGTACTGTGTACGCGCTTCCCTTCTTGCATTCTGTAAAAAATACCCTGCAACTTCGCGATCTCGGTGATCCCTTTGACCAGCTACCGATCCCAGGAGCAAACAACTTTTTACTCTCAGGTAGAAATGAGGACACCATCCTGGTTTGTTCGGAGGACTAGCTTGGTAAACCTCCAGGAGGAATCAACCATCACTAGGGAGAACTCCAGGCATTTGTCCAAGGCAGTAGCCTGAAACGGACCACACGGGACATTCAGGAATCCTTTTGGCACAGGAAAGTGTCAACGGAATCCGCACCAAAACTCACAGGTTGGTCAATATCAAAAGGCGGTGTTCTGGAAAAGGCCTGAACCTGTGCCTTCCAAATATACATATATATATATATAGTATGGGTGTGTTCTTTGAGGGAACATGCATTTGTGTGGCTTTGAAGGGAAACCAAAAGAACCATCATTTTGGGGAGCCCCCCAAAAGAAGAGACTCCCATGTATAATGATGCATCAACCCCCGGTGGTTTCCTGGAGGGGTTTCCCATTGACCCTCTAGAACCAGGCCAAACAAATCCCAACCGGTTGAGGCCGAACAAAAAAATGACGCTGGGACCCCAGAGATCCCCGGATCCTTTCGGGGAAATTCCGTTTTCCAGGGCCCGCGCCATGTCTCTCAACAGGGCCTCGGGCAAAACAAAAATCCGCGGGGCTGAAGCGTCTGCATATGTGTCATGGCCAAAACCTTCTGTTTGTTATGGTCATGGTTTCCATAGGAATCGGTATACTGGCTAGGATCCTCACTACCATGGGGATGACCCTAGCAATCCCAAGTGAACTTGTCTTTTGACCATGGCACATGTGTGTTATATGGATTTGGGACCCAAGACAGGATATTGCATCCACAGAATGGGCGTGTCAAAATCGGGATTTGGACCAAACTCATGTTGGTTTTCGCTTTGGTTTGCCTAACCACGGGTGAAAAGAAGACCCTCAAAGAAACACACATTGCCGACTGGTAAACCAATCGTGCACTTGCCTTTAACCAACCAGACAACATATCCCGCTGGCAGCGTTGCCACATGGGGGGATGGGAATGAGGTGTCCCTGTGCATCCAGAATGTTGAGGAATTTGGAACGGCTTTTCATGGACATCAACATTCATTGGCAAAACCAACAAGTCTGTACCAAAGTAATACGAAACAACACATGCCAGGACCTCATGATTTCTACATGGCTGGTGAGGCTCGGGCAAATCGAGGAATATCTGGGTCCGGGAGGTTCTTCAAAAGCATACTACAGATATATCCTGAAAAGAACAACATATCATCTTAAAAGCGAGGTACACACCTCCTAACTTGATGTAAACCTGGTGTATCACGGCCATGCCGTTGTCTGCTCGCTCATGAGGTAGTCCCAGCACCATTTGCGCAGGCTTGCGCTGCGTGCGTATGCCGAAATGCGCAATCGACCACCATAAACATAGAGTTCTTCCCCAGCAGCAACTCACAAGCAACTCAGAAGCATGCATGCCGGCCATGGAAGCACCTTGTGGGCGAGGATAGTGAAGCAGTCCGGCACGGACAGATTCTCCCGGTACAATCGTTTCGAGGTCTCCAAGGCATTTCGTTGGAAGTGCGAGGCATGCCCTTGTGGACCTTGAGCGGGCTGGGGGTTGTGCATCACGAGCCAACATTAGAAAAAAAAAAACACTGCGTAATAGTTGCGCCTGATTAAAGCACCCCCCCCCCCCGGCCTTCCCCCTTCAAGGTCAACAAGGTTTGGACAAGGGGCGTCCCCTTTGTGAGCTTGAACACCTTGCTTGTTAAAAAAGTTTTAGCAAGCAAATGCCTTTGGGGTAAAGCGCATTGTTGAGGACATTTGAGGGGTTTAATGGTGGCTTAGTATTTGTGGGTTCAAGCGCACACTAAGAAAATGCAAAGCAAACAGGTTTTTTGGCTTCGGGGCTGGAGGGGGTTACCTGGAATCAGGGTGGTTTTGGGAATGCCCAAAAACAGATTGGGTAGGGCGTTTTGGGCAAACCTTGTCAATTGTTGGCCCTCTCCTTTAGTATATATTGGTGGGAAGCTGGGAGGCAAAAGGGCAACCTTTGATCAGGGGGTTTACTAATGATGCACTGAAATTACAAGGGAAACCACTGCCAGGGCCTGCCCCAAAGAAAACACAACAATCCTCACGCAGGTGTGTGCTTCTTTAGGATATCCTTTTTGGGACGGTTTCAAAGAGAAAATAATGGGAAAACCACCATGTTGAGGAATCCCCTATTTCAACACGCCGAGTTGATGTGGTTAGCCCCAGAGCTTTCGGCTGAACGATTGTTTTGGCCACTTTGCGTGGCGTTTCTCAAAGGTCTTTGCATGTTGCCCCAAACCTGCAGTGGCTTTTGGGGGTACGGCCCCCCACCCTTCTCAGGGTCACCTTGCAGAGAGAAAGCACTTTCTGTTTGCCCCAGACCCCCAGTTGATTCACGGCGATGGAGAAAAGGGCAACCTTTTGGTACTTGATTTAAACTCCTCAAAAGCCCAAAGGAGATCTGGAAGCAACCTAATTGTCTGAGTTTTGGCTCGAGTCACGGGCTCCTGGGTTCTTTGGAGTCCCTTGATGTCTCCTATGGCCATCTCATTGAAGTGGTTAGCCCCAAGTCGTCATTCCGCAGGTTGACCGAATGGGGATTTCACTGGGGACATATACTTAACTGGGCTGCCCTCAGATCCTCTGCTAAAAGTTTAAGTTTTATTGGGTTAAATGGAAACTACCACTGAACACCAAAAAGCTAAAAGGCTAAGGGGATGGCTGGGGGCCACCAAGTTAAGTGGGTGGTCATCCACCCTTGAGGTCTCTTGCGGTCCCTGTGGGGTCCCTTGCGCATTGGGTTATTTAGAAGATTCAAGTTTCGGGAGGTGGCTTTCGCGAATTTTCTGTTGGGTGGAGTCTTAAACCTGCTCCAGGGGTGGATTCTGACTTTAACTAAGGACTCTGGCTCCCCTCGAAAACCCCAACTTCCTTCCCCAACTTCGGCAGGCCTCATGGTCTCAAGCAAGCGTCCATCGCCTTGGCCATGGGGCTTGGTGATTTCCGGATGAGGGCGCATTTGTCCAGGGTTTTCGCCCATTTGTTGAAGAAAAGCATCCCTGAGTCGGCTAGAAGGACGGCAAAATCCCCGTCATGCCAGCAATCAAAACTACCTATGGTATTTATGAGTCATGAACATGCTCCGTTTAAGGCAGAGAAAAGATTGCTCGAATCGCCTGAGATCAAATGGGAGGACATTGGCTTGGATCGCGGATCGCGACCCAAGACTCAGATTGTGTCAAAACTACTTGTTGCCATATGAAACATGGAGTGAGTCCCGTTTTTTTTTTTTTTGTGCGGGAAACTTAGAGCTTGTGCCCGATGTCCCTCCGATTGAAAACAAAGACTACCAGAAATGATGACCAAACCTCACACAGACCAAAGGGAATCTGGAAAGTGCTCTGCCTCCCAGACACCTGAGTCGACCCAACAGCTCAGTTCCACCCGGCCGACCTACGTTCTGCCCCTTTGATTTCTCAGGTGCTCACCCGGGAGGCAGGTCAAGTTCCAATGTTTGAGGGGAGAAACAATCTTCTCTTACCCCCAACTGTGCTTTCCCATTTCCAAACAGTCATGGGGTGCACTGGGGACGCAAGTCCGTCCTCCGTGTAAATACAAAGAAAAAAGGAATCCAAATGGTGACCCCACAAGGCAGGGAGCCAACAATCACGCGCTTCGCGGTCAGGTTCTGAGTGGTTTGCCAAGAAAAAAAAGCAAGTTGAGTTTTCTCAATGTGACTGAGTCGCCCAGAAACTTGGACAGTGAGTTTCTTCTTTGGCCGCATGACCCGACATCTGCAGTTCTCCATTTCACCCAATTGACCTACAGTTTTCAAAGTAACCAAAAGACAACAGCCAGTGAGCTCGAGCCAAACCACTGAAAATGTAAGTTCCTTCTTTCCTCGCCTTTGACCAAAAGTACAAAAGCCAAAGCACCAACTAAACACAACGAAACTGACAAACAACACAACACACTAAGGAGCAAAGCCATGACCTAGCCAGTTGTTCTCGCTGGTGCTCAGAAAGAAGTGAGGGAATGGGCTTCCCCCAAGGAAGCAACCAGCCGGACGGATTTTCTCGGGTCATTCCATTTCTCCCCTGCTGAGCAGCAAGTTTTGGCCCAACTGGCCATGGTCAAAATCCAAATCGTACCCCCAGTGAACATCCCAATCCCCACTAAAATAGGTTCTAAAATGGGCGGTGCACCTACCCCAAAATGGGATCCCATTGGTTTTGACCCACAGCCAACTCCTGCCGAGCAGCCATGGCTAAGCTCTGGCTTGAGGATTGGAGCCAGGCCGTGCGAGCGGGCGATGCTGAAACCGGTGAGGGGATCCCAAAGTTCTAATGCTGACTCAAGGTAAACCACTGGTGGATTCATAGAGGGTTGCCCCATTGAGAATACATTCACTTTTTGGGAACCGCGCAAAAGTAAACTGGGTTGTGCTTGCCTTACATGCGAAGGTTCCAAGGGAGGCTCTGGGGTTTTCCAGGTCGCCTTTTCCTGGCGATGCACCCGTGCGCAAGCCGCATGCTACCATGACCTTAGGGCTATCGCAAAGACTCAGTCCAACGCCCAGCGGCTTGACTTCAACTGCTCAGACTCGGCGTCCTGCCGCGTCCACCTTTTGATACTTGATTTGTCACCCCAAAAAAAAAACAAATACGTGTTAGCTTTACTTCTTTCTCATTTTTTTTTTTGGGGGGGGGTGAGGGGTTCCCCAAGGTTCTCTCTCTTTTTTTGGGGGGGAGGGGGGAAAAGTTCTTCCAAAAAGAAAGGATTCAGGAATCAACGCAGCAGGTGTGGGGCAGTCAAACCCAGGGAGCCCGCTCAACTCGGCCTTCACAAGGCAACCATTTTGGTGCTGGGGTAATGCTGTGGACAAAATCCAGGCCAGGCACCTGGCAGCTGGTCTATCTGAATATGGGGGGGGGGTGCATTTGCAACTCGTGCAGACATGTTTGCATGTGCGAGTATGTCAGAATCCCAACATACGCCATGGTTGCCAGACCGTGTGGTCGAAGCTTCAATCACCGCATGACTCCCTTACATCATGTATGTAATAAATGAATAAGTAAACAAATCAATGAACAAATGAATCATCTGAACATATCTAGATGTTTTTTTTGAAAAACATGAATCTCTCAATATGTGTTATATATACTTGGTTGCTTTCTGCTCCCCTGCTAAAAGTTTAACTTTTAGTGGTTTAATGGAAAACCCATAAGTTGGCAAAAAGTTGAAGTCCTAACATCCAAGCAACATGCACCAAAGTATATATATATATATATATATTTGTTCTTTGTGGAGGGTCTTAGACCAATGCCTTCGTCCCTCTCCGCCTCAGCACCTTCCTGAGCTGCTCCGAGCCGGCGAGGCCGTGGCTCTCGTGGTCCAGCACCTCGACTCGAGCGAGGCGGCCGCCCGGCCGCCCGGGCCGCGCGGCGGACGTTTTGGGGTACCTAAAACGAAAACGAAGCTACAAAACGTGGATCCAAAGCTGGAGGCGGCAGAAAATCGTGTTTTTTCTTTTTGGCTGTTTTTCAGATTCTTTAAAACAAGAAGCGTTTGATTGTTG